CCCCCCCCGGGGGGTGTTATAGTGCCTGGGGGTCCCTGCTCCATTGCCTGTCTCTGGGGGTGTTCCCAGTCCCAGTGGGCCCCAGCTGTGGGCAAACTGGTCTGAGCCCACAGCTGACCTGGCCTGGAGCCAGGGGGCAGACTAGAGACCCCCTCCAGTGTCAGTGACCCTGTGGTGTGAGCACAGGTCTGGGGTCCCCATGTGCTCTGCGCTGTGTGGGGGTACCCTGGGGTCCACACAGCTCCCCGCCGTGTGGCAGAGCTCTGCTCCCCGGGAGGGAGGAACCTGCCTTCCGGTGGACTCCAGCCCCTTCCACTGCTTGTCTGCTGAGGTCGGCTCTGGGCGCAGCCCCAGCAGAAACCAGTAATGGGGTGGAAGGGGGGGAAATGTTCAGAAACACATGATAAACACACTTAGACGTGGCTCTGTAATTTAGCAGACTACTGCTGCCTGCAACGGTATTTATCACGGCACTCTCTCAGATTAGATTAACATTAGGGGAAATTTATCTTGTGATTACTAAAATATAATCTAAAATTGCAACCTTCTTTGGTAAAAGATGATGATAATAATAATAATCAGAGCTAGCAGAGAAAGGAAGGTCTTATTACATTAGCAAGCATTTAGGAAAATCTTATGGCAGCTTCTTTGCTAACTCCAGTAACGCAGAGACTTCTTGGCAACTTGCTAAATTGGCCATATAAGCCCTGAAAATATGTGGTTGTCCATTCATTTTCAGATGCACGTTCGCACACCAGGTTATTTGTAGAAAAGCTCTGCTTAAAAAAAACCCCAAGTTTAGAAGCAGACAAGCTGCCTTGGCAGGCTGAGCACCGGCTGCCCGGGCGCGGGGGTTTGTTCTCCAGCAAAAGCTGCTGCAGATGCTAGCGTGGAGGGGCTGCACCTGTGCCTGGTTGAAGAGGGCTCCCCCGGCTCCCCCCAGTCCCCAGTAAGGGACAGTCACACTGGAGAGGGAGCTGTGGGGGAAGAAGGAAGGTCCTGGGGCACTGGGGGTGTCAGGGGTGGGTGCCTGGACCGGAGAGTTGTGGGTGTGAGGCCACTCATACCCACCCCGAGGTGGTTCTGGGGTGCAGCAGGTGCTCCGGCCTCATGGCACAGCTCGTGGCTTCTCACCAAACTTTTGTAATGTGGGGTTACATCAGTGCTTGGCAATTTATAACTGATTTATGAAATACCGAAAAGCAGCCCATCTGCTCTGCCCTGCCCCTGCTTCAGCCTCTGTAAGGGCGGAGGTGACAAATGACACCAAGCAGGTGGAAACACCGCCCTGGGTGGGGTGGCCATGCTCTGGGGCCCATCTGCCACCCCGGGGCTCTCCCTGTGGTGCCTGGGCTGGCCATGTCCCAGAGGGCAGGAGATTGGCCACCAGCTTCCTTGCGAGGTTTGGGGGGGCTGCTTGTTCCCAGCGTGAGCTGCTGCACAGGGCCTGATGGCCGTGGCTGGAAGCAGAGAGCTGCTGAGATGCCCTGAGTCACACAGAGCCTTCTCCAGGCTGTAATTACCCCTCCCGGCAGCTCTCCGCTCAAATAGGAGAGTGTTGGCAGCAAGTGGTGGGGTGCTGACACCCCTCCACCTGCAAGAGACCCTTCCCAGCCTCATGCTTTGCAGTTCCTGTTGTTATCGCCCCTGTGCTGGAGCCCAGGCCAGCTCTGCCGCTCGCTGCCAGGGCTGCTCCTGACTGGAGAGCAGGAACTACCTCTTCTCGCAGATTTTCAGACCTGAGAATTTGCTTTCCTGCTCTACTAGCCTGAGCTCACCCACTGCCAGGTGTCCGTGGGGCGGGAGATGCCCTGGCTCCACTCCCAGCAGGGAGGGATGAACAGGGTGACACCATCTCTACCCAGTGGCTGCCTGTCCCAGAGGGGCTGCCCGCGATTCCCTTGCAGGCAGGGCTGCCTGCTGTTACCTGCAGGCAGGGCTGCCTGCCCGCTGCCCTCATGCTGGCTGGGGAGAGCCCAGGGCTGTGCTGCTGGGGCCGTGGCCCCGAGGTGGCTGTGGAGGGGCTGAATGCTGAACCCACTCTGTTCCTACACAGACTGTTTCTGTGTTTGCCTTCTGCTTCCTCTTTTGCTGAATAATTCATAATGAGTGATTAACGGAGATGCCCCCCCCCTTCCTTTTCGCACATGATCACCAGTTGCATTTTTTCAGAGCTATTAGTTATTCATAATGATTTGCTGAGTAACGTCTGCGCTGCTCCCTGGGCTGTGGTTTGCTCCCTGACGTGGGGTCTGGGGGAACCGATCCTGCTCCCTGCACAGGTACCAGCACTCCGGGCACCATCTGCCCTGCGCCAGCTTGTCCAGGCTCCCAGTGGGAAGCTCCAGTGATGGGAATAGGAAATGGGCCTAAAATGGGAGATTTTATTCAACTGTGTGATTAAACAGGAGATTTTTGGGCTGAATATCCCAGCTCTTCCCTTGGTTTACAAGGAGCAGTGAACATGAAGGGGCTTGGCTGAACCCGAGGGAAGTGTCATCTGTATCATCTCAGCTTTAACCCTCTGTCCTGCTGGTCTGAGCATTACCACCTGCCCTGCGCTGTGGGATTGGTGTCAGCGTGGCCTTCACCCTCCATTAGCCCAGAGGCAAACAGCACTGTCTGAGCCCCCCTAAAGTGATCAGAGAGGAGGGTGAGGGGGATGGAGGCAGGGGCAGACCTGGAGCAGCAGCCCTCTGCTCTTTCCCTGTGTGTAACCCAGTGCGAAGTGTCTGTGGGTGCTGGTGGCTCCCCGTGTCTGTGTCAGCCGTGCCAGTGGGACGGGAGGGCAGTGGTGGAGCCTGCGGCAGGGCTAAGGCCAGGGAGCAACAGGGTCTTCCAGAACCAGTTATCCTGGATAGCTGAGACCTCCCAGGAGGGGAATGCCCTCTGCATCTGCCCCAGCCCCATCCTGGCTATGCAGAGCTGAGGTGTCCACCTTCTTTCATCCTCCTCATCTTCCTTGCTGGCATCCCTGAGGATGCCATGGCAACGGGGCCAGCTGCTGGCAGGAGAAGCTGCTGCTCTGAGCCCTCAGTTTAATCCTGAGCGTTGCAGCTGTGACCTGGGCAGGCTGGGGGCTGCAAGATGGGGTCCAGTCCCAGCCAGTTCAGGCAAGACCGAGATGGAGGTGGTTTTGTGGGTGCTTGGGGTGCCCTCCCGTGCAAGCTCTGGGCCCTGCTCTGCCCTGGCAGGCTGTGGAGGGCTGGGCACCGATACGGGGGTGCTGCCAGCATGTGTGGGGCGGCAGCATGGGGGTACCGATACCCAGAGCCCTAATCCTGGCCCAGGGGCTCCTTCTTTCCATGGTGCCTTCCTCATGGGCAGGGAGAGGTGGAGGTGACATGGCTGTGACCCTGAAGAGAAGAGCAGAGATGTCGAGAGCTTCGCTGAGCCACTCCAGCAATATCTCACCACAGCCAAGCCGTCAGGCAGCTCGCATCCGTTTATTACAGCTTTCTGAAGTTATAATTAGAGTCTGGCCCAGCCCAGAGGAGGAGGGAGCTGTTTTCAGCCACTTGCTGGGACCGTAATGGGCCCGTCTGATTTGTGTATGGTGCAGTGGGGAACCCCAGCAGCGTTTGGGCAGGGGCTGTAGTGATGCTTCAAGAGGTTGAGGCCGTGGGTGCCTGTGAGGGGCAAACACAGCTCTGTGTGCTCCTAAAGCCCCAGGAAGAGCTGCAGCACCTCAGCCTGGGGCTTCTCAGAGCCTGTCTCCTGAGGAAGGGGCTTCTCCCGGAGCACCAGCTCCTCAGTCACCTTGATCCCCCGGCACTGGGGGGGCGTGCGGACACAGGCAGGACGCAAGCACAACCTCCCCGCTCTGGCTCCTTGGCCGTGCAGGGAGCATCTCCCCAGGGGCTGTGTGGCACTGGCGCTGGTTCTATTTTGGGTCTCTTTGCAGCACAGCTGGTGATCATCCCTTACGCCGTGTGGAGAGGGCTGCGTGCAGCTATTTCTGCCAGATCATCCACGCATGGCCTCTTTTTATAACCACACTTCCTGGGAGGATGAGCGCAGGTGATGGGGGGAGATTTTGGACGTTGCCGGGGCCCAGCTGTGCCTTGGACAGGCTGGGGGGAGGCAGCAGCTCGCCCCGGGGGCTCCAGGAGCAATGGGGCAGGTGGCTGAATGCTCCCCCACATCCTGTGGCATTGACCCTCAGCAGCGCAGGGGGAGCAATCCAAGCTCTCCCAGGCTGGAGGGGGTGTCCAGGGGGACCTGCACCCTGATCCTGCTCCAGCATGGCCATGATGGAGCCCTTCAAAGCTGTGGCCCCTTCATTTTGAGTCTGGATGTTGTGGTGTCACTGGGCTGGGTGCAGACTGGCCAGGGGCATGAATCCTGCACGTGGGTGCTCTCATCTCCACCTCTGTGAGCATCTGGGCCCCAAACCCCTTCTGACACACCCTGTGTTGGACCACCTCAGCACTTCCCTGCTGGCTTTGAAATGCAGCCCAGCTCTACGCATCCCCTGCCTGGGGGATAATGAGTGGTGGGGAGGGCAGGGTGATGGGCTGTGGGCTCCTGGGGCTCCAAAATGTTGGTGGGCTCTGAAATGCTGCTGTCCTCTTCCCCCCATCTGCATCTCCTGCTCTCTGCTGGACCTTCTGCTCTGCCCAGAATGGGCTGGGCTACCTCCAGCTACGCTGGGGCTCTGCCCAAAATAGTGGCCTCCTGCCC